TCAAACACAGACCCGCAGGGCGATCAGGGGGTTTGGCCGCTGCCCCCTGTCACACTGATCCCGGTGCCGGGGGCATATTACCCTTTTACTATATAGAATAGAGGCCTGGTGCATGGGGGGGGCCGGCTGGTTTGCCCTGAAGAGTGTCCTGGATCGGGGTGGGGGTCCCCACTGGGGTGCCTGGCCAGTTTGGGTGAGGGGCTGAGGGCTGTTTTCTGGCTGGCGAGTGACTAAAGCTTCCAACCACTCCTTGTTTTCTTTTTTTATTTTTTTTTATTCTGGGCCAGCTTTAGCTCTGAGGCCTCGCTGCTGAAAACATCCATACAATGTTTCGGTCCAGCTGGATTTCAGTCCGGCTGGTTTCTGGTGTTTTGTTTAGCTTCTTATTTGCAACATAGTACATAGTTGCTTAGAGTTGCAGCTGAGAGGCCCGCAAGTGAGGCAAGGAACGTTGGAGTCCACAGTGACTGGAGCAAGCAAGCCTCATGCTCGCTTCAGTGCCTTGCTGCCGGCCGCCATCTTGGCTGACAGTTAATTTGCATATACTCACTGATTAGCCAATGAAAAGGGTAGCGGTCGTATGCCAATTACCATGTTTCTCTTTTATTAGTGTAGATGGGCCTCCACACATGAACTAATAGAGTTTCATTAGCTTGGATACTAAACTACTCCCGACTGTAACATGGAGAGGAAGCTCTGGCATGGCCTACTACTGGAACCCTGGCTGCTCCTTTTCCAGGACTAGCTTCTCCCAATAAACTTTGGTTCCATTAATCCTTTTTGTCTGCAACTTCATTCTTCAATTTTCGTGAGACAAGAAATGGGATTCAAAACACCCACATTTTTGGCTTCAGCATCAGTAATAAAAAATAACATTAAAAATATAAGAGTACTTTTATACAAAGGCTTCCAGGAAATAGAAAAAAAGGAATGCTTTTCATATAGCCTTGGTATACAAACCTGTCAAGTACATAACAAATAAAAACTCATTATAAATACTTTGTGAACCTGGATGAAAGAAAAACAACTTAATCTAAGTGTAATATATACACTGAATTTTGAAGAAGGACAATACAAACTAACCATTGTGGTTTTATTTCAGAAATGCAAGATTGGTTTAACATTTAAAAGAAATAAAGGTAGTTTACTTCATAAACATTATACAGTGAAAACATTTATCATCTCAACTGACACAAAAATAATAAAAATGTAACATCATTATAAAAATATATTAGAATAATAGCAATATTATGGAATTGCTTTTTTATGAGAAAGGTCTTTTGAAAAAACTTTAAAACAAATTTCATATTTAAGGATGAAATATATTAAATGTGTTCCCTGAAAACAGAGGACACATACAACTTTACTGTCCTTACTATTCAACATTGGAAATAAAACTCTAGCCTATGAAAATAAGTCAAGAAAAGAAAATAATTGCACCAGGGAAAAAGAAACAAAATAACTGTCTATATATACTATGCAGAAGAACGTATATTTGAAATGATAGGATTAATACAAAAATCAATAGCAAACCTCAACTGCATTTATGTTTAAAGCAGCAAAATTACTAAAGAAATTTTTAAATAAGTACATCATTTACAAAATCACAACTATAGAAGAATTATATTTCTTTGACTTCAAAATGGAAAAATTTTAAACATAGAGAAATTAAAGAAAGCCTAATACATGGAGAGATAAAGCATGATATTGATTGGAAGAATCAATATTATAAAATTACACCTTTATAAATTATTTAAAGTTTAAATGCAGTCCCTAACATAACCTCAAAAAAAATTCATCCATGTAGAGTATATATGTCAGCGATTTTTAGTATATTCACCTGAGTTTGCAAACATCACTACTAACAAAAATTGGAAAATATCGTCCTAACTGGTTTGACTCAGTGGATAGAGCATCGGCCTGCAGACTCAAGGGTCCCAGGTTCAATTCCAGTCAAGGGCATGTACCTTGGCTGCAGGCACATCCTCAGTAGAGTGTGTGCAGTAGGCAGCTGATCGATGTTTCTCGCTCATTGATGTTTTTAACTCTCTATCCCTCTCCCTTCCTCTCTGTAAAATAGCAATAAAATATATATTTTAAAAAAATTGGAAAATATCCAGCCCCCAAAAGTAACAGTGCACCAATTAGCATTCGTTTGTTACCTACCTCCCTTCAACTTTTGGCAACCACAAACTACTTTCTGCCTCTGTGGGTTGGCCTATTCTTGATAACACATATAAAGTGACTCACACAACATAACATCATTTAAAAATGTTGAGTGCCACGAATACAACATTGATCAAAACACGTCAGACACTAAAAGCAATGAATATCTTCACTTTTGGGTGTGTATGTTATTGTCCAATAATTGTTATAGAAAATTATTTCATTATTAAAACAAGTGATATAATTCATTTGAAGACATGTGCAATCATAATATTCTTTCCATTTCATGAAAATTAAAGTTATCCAACAGAATCCAAACGCTAAAGCTTATGCTTACAGCTATATATTTTTGAAGCTCCACAACTCCATGATGTGAGGCCATATAGGTTTAGCAGAGCACAGTCACCTTTACCAAATGATAAGTCTTCTATTCTGTAATGGAGAAAAGTGCATTATTTTGTTGTTATTGTGTGGGGCCGATACATAAAATAATAAATAGAATTTTCAATGTAACTGCAATCACAGAACATTTTGAAAATGGGTAATGATATTTTTCATGGAATATTAGTAAGAGTTGGTTATTAGGAAAATTAGATAGTCATTCTTTAATATTCATATCAATCTTTCATCAACTTTGACTATCATTCTTCATGTTTATAATTCAACTTAAACAAAAAAATCAATAATAGTCTTCAGAATTTTTCTTTTTTGGATTTTTCTTTTTTGGATTTTCCTTTTATATAGCATTTAAAGAATGAAAGGTGAACCATTTATCAACCTCCAAGGATGATCACTGCTGCTACGAAAAACTCCAATCCATGATGGAGGTGATAAGGAACTCAGAAATTCCTACCCCCAAATAAAGAATTTTTATTTAAATAATCATCATGAAAGATTATTTTTATAAAGCAAGTAGTGTATTCTTTCAGAAGATCCTTCATTTTGAGAATAAAATAAGATTGTTGGATCCTAATCTAACACTAAAGTTATATTAAGACTTTTTATTAAAGATATATTAAAATCACATTTCATATTTTCAAAAACTGTCAGCAATGTTTGTACATTTGATTTAAAATTAACCCAAATATTTATGTTTAATGGTCTCATTCTTCTTATTAATTTAATAAGGAAAATTCTGATTCATGTAATTTAGTAGTTACCCACATTGACAAAACTAGCATAACAAAGTTTTAAATAAGTTTCCAAATACTTAAAGTATTCATTACCATGACTAAATCATTGTCATTTTCTACTATTTCTCAGATAGCAGGTTTTTAAAAAAGGGATTATAATTAAGAAAATAAATGACATGAAAGAAAAAAAAAAGATTCTCTGTGTTTCACAACATTGTTTAACCAGATAAAGCCCAAATTGACCTGTTTCTGTGTTGGTGGAATCCAGTGGTCCAGGTGTCAGAGACTCATTTCCCTGCTAATTAAAACTATAAATTCTGAAACTAATTAATGAAAGACATGAGTAAAGAAGGCCTCTGGAAGGTGGAGTGAGAAAGAGTAAAAGGTTTGTACTCCAGGATTAGGAACACAGAGTGACTGGGTATCTTACATCCCACCAAACAGAAGAAAGGGACTTAGGCCTGATTGTTTCCAATTCCCAACCCAGAAATAGGACTTGGCTCAAGGAAGCCATTCCTCCTCTGTGTTACAATGGGAATCTTGCCCAGCAACAGCAGGCAAGCCTAGGAGAGTGATCCATCAGGACACCTGCTGACAAAAGCAATCAGAGAAACCAGGGAGGCCAGTCAGAGGTGGGACCAGCCAAAAGGAGCCTATGACTAAAAGTAAGGGACCCAGCAAGGCTCTTATTCTGGAGGCCATGGGACTCACATTCCCAGTGAATGACCACAGAGAGGATGGATTTTAAAATGTCACATTCACATAACTCAGCAGTGAAAGTTAACAAACTGCAGATAAATGCAATATAGATGAAGTGCAGCAATATCATATGGGAGTCAAAAGAAACAGGAATAAAATGTGTGTTACTGTATGATTTTTTTATATGAGTTTAAAAAACGCGCAAAGAGACTCTATATATTAAAAGTCAGCACAGTTGTTAAGTGATGCGGAAGGAGAAATGATGAGAAAATACACAGGAGCAGGGCTGCAAAGGACCAAAACTCTATTTTGTGATCTGATTTGCAATTATATGGTTCCATTGCCCTTATAATTCATCTGCTCAATTATATGTTTAACTAGAGACCCGGTGCACAAAAATTTGTGCACTTGGGGGGGGATCCCCCAGCCCGGCCTGTGCCCTCTCACAGTCTGAGACCCCCGAGAGATAACGACCTGCTGGCTTAGGCCTGCTCCCAGGTGGCAGAGGGCAGGCCCAATCCCTAAGTGCAGCCCCTGGTCAGGCTCAGAACAGGGCCAATTGGGGAGTTGGGGCTCTGCCTCGTCATGCACAGAGCAGGGCGGATCGGGAGGTTGCAATATCACCCTCAGTCACGCTCAGGGTAGGGGCAATTAGGGGGTTGGGGCACCGCCCCCTGTCACACTCAAGGCAGGGTCGATGGGGGAGGTTGTGGCACCACCCCCTGTCACTCACAGAGCAGGGCCCATCAGGGTGTTGGGGTTCCGTGGCCCTGTCACACACAGAGCAGGGTCAATCAGGGGGTGGGGGAGCTCCCCCCTGTCATTCACAGAGTAGGCCGATAGGGGGGTTGGGGCACCCGCCCCCCTGTCACACGAAGAGCAGGGGCGGATCAAGGGGTGGGGCGCTGCACCCTTGTCA